TCCTTCGGAATGCCACTGCCGCCGGCACCAAACTTGGACAGCTCCGCCACCGCCTACGGGGTCCCCTCCCCCACTCTCGGCCGGGCCGCCCCCTCCCTCCGCACCACCTCTGAGGCTGGGTTTTCGGGGCCTCGGAGAGGCTTGCTTGGAAGAGGTTGGCCGGGTGCCTACGATTCCGGAGAGGGACTACTCGGAGGCCCGGGGCTCCAATCGAGTCTTAAAGTTGAAAAGTGGTGGGAGGGGGCGTGTGAGAGAGGAGGGAGCCGGAAAGAAAGATGGCAGTTCCGGGGGCCCGGGCCAGCTCGGGGGGCGCCCGGCAAGAAGGCGTTCACCCCTCTTCGGTGCCTTGGCCCCCCAGCCCGGGCCGCGCGCCCCCGTCCGGGCGTGGAAGCTTCCATTCCCGCCGGAGGGGCGCCCGAGGAGTTCGCGGGAGGAGGGGACCCGGGCCCCGCATTACCATTTTGATTGCTTCGATGCCATTTTTGGAGGGGGAGGGGTTGAAAGACCCTTCTCTGCCGAGCACAAAGATGTTTAATCACCGTGCAGAATCAAATCAGATACTTTCTTTAAAAAAAAAAAAATTGCCACCAAATCTGTTATAGTGAGATAGCTGAGGTTTTTCGAAGACGATTTTTCACTGAGACTGCAAGTTGTTGACTCTTATGCTCAGAGTAGATTTGAGAGAGAGAAAGAGAGACAGTAACCCTGTAGCTCTCCTTGCAACAATGTATTTTCATGTTTGCCTTACATGCAATAGTTTCGCTATTTGGAGCGGCTGTTCTGAGCTCAGGTTCGATCATTTCTTCTGTATGGTAGGCAACTGTTTCAAGGCTGTTTAAATTTTTATGATGGTAGTAAATGAGTAGCTATTTATTATCCGACATGCCAGAATTTACATAAGGCTGAAAGGAACATTTGAAAACCCTTTTTGAAGGTGGAAGGGAAGGATCCCGCTCCTCGGGGGTGCCTTCGCCTTTAAATTTGAACTCGAAGAAGGCTGGCTGCCCAAGAGCCTCCTCCATCTTTGTGTGTGTGTGTGTGTGTGTGTGTGTGTGTGTGTGAGAGAGAGAGAGAGAGAGAGAGAGAGAGAGAGAGAGAGTGTTTAACAGGAAAGAAAGGAAACAAGAAAACTTTTGTCCTCTGGCCTTTTAAAAATGTTTCTCTTTTAGATGACTAAAAATAACATCTGGTACGCAGCCAGGTTTTGGCCTGGCCATCGGAATTTGTGTTTGTAACTACAAGTGTGTTGCTTTTCCGGTTCCCTTTGTGGCATTTTATATAACAAGGGCTCATAAAAGAGGGAGGGGAGGGGGTTGAGGCTGGGTTCAGCATGCTAATCAAGCCGCCTGTCTCCTCCAAGCATGTTGGCATCTTTCGGAGATCTCATGAGGGTTAGGTGGGCTTAACATTCACCCCTCTGGCTCCCCTTGGGAGACTGTAGTGGTGACTGGCTTGGCTGGAGAAAGGTCAATCAGTGGGCTTGGAGGTGACTGAGCAGAAGTGGGGTGTGAAGAGGCTGTGTGGAGACACCCCAAAACTTGTCCAGGAGGTGCTGAACTGGGGGAGTGGGACTGAAAAAGCTTGGGTGTCAGTCTTTTTTAAACTTAACAGACTATGAAAAGATTATAATTCTTTTACAGGGTTACTTGGGGAAAAGTCTTACCGTCTCCACCTCCAGGACTTGTGTGTGTGTGTGTGCCGTTCCCGTTTTATATCAGATCTAAAGGTTAAGTTTCAGTTAAAAGTGCACATGCAGGTGATGAACTGGATAGTAAAATGAATGGATGATCCCATTTTCTGAGTTGGTTAGAAATACAACAGTGGCAGAGTCGTGTCTTTCAGCGCCCAGCCATCAATTTCTCACTACATGCCCTTGGCACTGGAATTTTCTGTTACTTTTAGAAATACAGATAAGTGTTTAAAGGACTTGGAGAAGTGGATAGTGGGTTGGTCAGAAGTAGGTAGATAAATACATTCTGTATCTAGCTCTTCTCCCATCATCAGGAGACGACGGGTTAAACACAAAACTACCTGCCTTAGGACCTTGCTGTTTGAAAAGGGAGTTCATATTTTTCCCTTGAAAAAATCGGTTGGGGAGTAGGTCAGAGCTGAGTTGTGGCCCCATGGGGCCCAGCCAGACTGCCCCCAGGTTTGGCCACCCCTCTGTGCTGGATTGTGGATGTGGTGGGGCTCTTTTCCAACAAGATATGATGTGTGAAGACTCCATTAGCTGCTCCAGTGGTTTTACATCATGAATTTGCAGCACATGCAGAGAGGCAGTAACATTTTTATCTAAATCGTCAAGCAGCAAGCATTTCTGTGTAAATAACAGACCCATCATAAATACAGGGAACCCCCCCACCCCAGCTCTCCTCGCAGAGCCTTGGCATCTCCAGATCTGACTGTGCAAATCCAACATGAACAGCGCTCGGAGAACTTGGTGTTTGAACTGTCGCCTGTGCTGGCACGGACTCACCGGAGCATCCTGAGACGTGAATCTGAGGCCTTGCGCGTTGCCTGATATATCCATTTGATGGACTCTGGATTCCGAGGGGCTGTCCTCAGGAGCAGCAATAAAAATCTGTCTTCTTGAAAGATATTATGTATGTGGCCCTCACCCAACTCCATGTCGTGTCCTCAGCATGATTGACTGGCCACGTCAGACACTGGAGGGATTCCACCTCCAGCAGATGAAGTGGGCAGTGGGTTTATTCTGAGAGGGCCGCCCCACTCCGAGCTATTTGCATCCCTTGGTCAGAGGATGTTGTTTTCCAAGCTCTCCTGCCCTCCTCCAGGTAGACACATTGTCGTCTTCCTCATCCAGAGTTCCAGTCCTCCTTCTGCAAGCAGCACCATTACAGGTTCAAGAGCAAATTAATCCCAACCCCCAAAGCTCCACTTTTCTCACTTCGGGATGGAGACAGAGCATGGGGGTGGATGGCAGGACTCCTGAGCCCACCTTGAGCCCTCTTGGTCCCCACTTCCTCCTCCCTCCACTGCCCTAGGAAGATGGCAGTGGCCCCTCATGCCTCCACTTAAGGAAATGCAGCTTTGTTGAGGCAGCATTTACAGTCCCATGCCCACCGACAGCATGCCACTCTTGATGGTCTCGGGCACGCCCCATTCTAGGCACATGGCCTTCATCCATCTTAGAACATTTTCATCACCTCGGAAAGAAACCCTTTGGCTGTCACTTTGTCCCACCTCTGAGCAACTGCTCATTTCCTCTCCAGATTACGGTTCTAGACTTTGATCTGAATGGAATCCTCGCTGTTCCCATGCATCCTTTTGTGGTTGAACATGGAGTTTCCAGGTTCACCCAGGCTGCATGTGCATCAGTACTGACTTCATTCGCACTTCCCGAGTAGTCTGTTGTGTGGATGGAGTTCACTTTGTGTAACCCTTCACCTACTCGTGGGAAGTTCGTGGTCTCCATCTTCTGGCTCTCAGGAGCAGTGTACTGTGTCTTTCTTGTGCTTCTGGTACTTCTTTGCCAGAGTGTCTTAAAACTAGAGCACAGTCACAGTGCCCCTGGCTCACAGCCTTCTGGTGGGTCCACCTCACCCCTGGACCTGGCTGTGTGACCCCTTGGTTAGCAGCTCCTCTGCCACCCTGAGCATTTCCCTGCCTCTGGGAGTAATGGCATTGTGTGCCTTGATCTATCACACTGTTGACTACTTTTTGTTGCTTTATCCAGTGGCAGCAAACCTACAGAACATGTGCCACAGTGGGCTGTTTGTATTACTAAAAGCTCTAAAAGGTTCACCATCAATGTGCTAGACAAGCTCCATGCCAGCGGTCTGCTCAACTCCCCCTTCCCATGTTTCAGAACAAGGGGGACTGTGAGGATGAGCAGTGACAGTCTCGTGCCAGGGGATCCCTAGCCATGGCAGGCAGGTGGTGAATGGTAGCTTCTTTGAATGGTAGTGTCTTTGAAGTGAGTGCCCCAGAGACAGGTGGGACTAGCTCCCTGCCCTCGAGATCCTCACAGAGTGAGGTGTGGGCAGAACTTCTGGGAAAG